TGAGATCAGATACTGCTTGTTTGAGATTTCAGGAAAATCTGAAGCATGAGCCAAGACAGGCTATTCAAATGGAAAAACCACTGGAAACAGCCTGGGCGGGCCTAAAATTTGGGTGAGGGGGAGACTCAGGAAATCACCAAAGTGTAAGCCAGGTTGATGGAATGTCAGATATGGAACCAGCCTGAAGGTTCTGTGGGGGGAGGGTTCATCAGTGGAACAGTGGCCTCTGGGAAAAAGCACTTTTGTCTGGGAGAAAGTCCCTCACAGCTCTCACCCTGATGCCAAACAATTCAGTTCTTCCTGGTATGCCTCTGGTGCCTTTCAAGCTACTGACCCAGCGTTGGAACTCAGAGGAAACAAATGTGAGTAAGTCCTTGTGCAGTCCCTTGAAAAAGGAACTACTTGGGATTTCCACAACCCTCCATCTCCCCCAGCCACAATTCCCGCTGGTTTTTATAACCAGAAGTTATGGGGAATTCTCTTCCCAGCACTGGAATGCCTAGTGTGGGGCTGTGACCCCACAAGCCTCAGAGGAGACCTCTGCAGTCGAAATATCCTTCACAATTTTAATCCACCACACGTGGGGATGGGACCAGCCCATTGCATGTCTCTGCCCCTCCTACTAGTCTCAATGTGGCTGCTTCTTTAATTTGCTAGTTGTATGACTTCCATTCAACCTAGATTTCACACGGTTCTAAATGATGGTTTTTCTGTAGCTTAGCTGTAATTCTGATGTGTTTGTGGGAGGAGGTGAGTACCCCATTTACCTAAACTGCCATCTTGATCAGAAATCCCATGGCAGCCTTAAAAACAAACAGCTCACAATCATAGTGAAGTCAGTAGCCTAGTAGCTGCTGGAGATCAGAACAGGGTTAGAGCTCTTCCAAATTATCATTCTCAGAGAGCTGTCATTCTCAGATCTGTCTGGCAGTTTCTTAGAAATCCTTACACAAGGCTTATCTTGATTTGCCCTGACTGTACAGCTTGCATAGTGCAAAACAACCTTTTGCTGAAAGCATTTGTCAAAACTAATTAAATGACAACTGTTTAGCACCACAGTTGCCTGATTTATATCAGTTGTGGTAAATAATAAGCAAATCAAAACACTTAAAAAATTAAGCAAAGTTTGCAACAATTATGGGGGTTTTACTCAAGAAAAACAACTAAATCTTGGTTGGAAGAGAAAAACCTGCCAAACTGAGTGCTGAAGGTGTACCCAACATGCACCCTGAGATCCTCAACAAAGACTGAGAGACACACTGGTTCCCCACATTTAAGGAAATATCTCTCCAATTATTTAGCTGACCACTAAGCTGACTGAGCACTTTAGTAGTAATATACAACAAAAAATACAGACTTCACAGATTTCAGTAGAAAAGAAACTAAAAAATAGTAACAACATCCTAGGGGGAAGGAAGACAAACGATTTCAGAGTTGTCACATCATGCTACTTAAACTGTCCTGTTTAAAAAGAAAAATACAACACATTCAACGAAATAAGAAAGTATTACCCATACACAGAAAAAAAAAGCAGTCAACAGAAAATGCCCAATGAAGCCCAAGAACAGACTTACAAAATACTGACTTTAAAAATGTTTAATGAATTAAAGGAAACCATGTCTAAAGAACTACAAGAAAGTAAGAGGACAATGTCTCATTGACTAGAGAATATCTATGTAAATAGAACTTATAAAAAAGAGCCAACCAGAAATTCTGGAGAAAAGTATTAACTGGAATGAAAGAATCACTACTGGGGTTCAACAGACAGGCAAAACAAAGTATAAGATAGGTCAACTGAGATTATCTAGTCTGTGGAACAGGAAAAAACATTAAAAAAAAAAAAGACTGTAGGATACCAGCAAGTATGTAAAAATATGTGTAACAGTCTTAGAAGGAGAGAAGAGAAAGAAGCAGAAAGAATATTTGAAAAAATAATAACCAAAAAACTTCCCAACTTTAATGGGAAACATTAATCTCCACATCCAAGGAGCTCAATTAATTCCAAGCAGGATAAACTCAAGAAAAGTCACATCTACAAACATCATAGCTAACTGCTGAAAGACAAAAACACAGAATTTTGAAAGCAAGGAAAAGGTAGCTCATCATGTGTAAATAATCCCAATTAGATTAAGAGCTGATTCCTCATCAGAAACCATAATGACCAAAAGGTAGTGGTATGTCATATTCAAAGTGCTAAAAGAAAACCAAGATTGTATTTCCAGCAAAACTACCTTTCAAAAACAAAGAACTTTTGATATTCCCAGATAAACAAAACCCGAGAGAATCTGTTACTAGCAGACCTACCCTAAAAGAAATATTAAAGGAAATCTTCAGGCCAAAATGAAAAGACACTAGATGGTAACTCAAAACTAAGAAATAAAGAGCACCAGTAAAGGAAAATATACAGGTAAACAGAAAAGGAAATATGAATATATTTGTTACTTGTAAATCAATCACTAAACTGGTGTAATAAAAAAAAATATATATATATTTGGTCTTTGTCTCTGGTTCTTCACTCAGTTATTAAAACACTTATAATTTCATGAGTGAAAAAAATGTCTTATTCATACTGAGCTTTTGATAATACAATATTTTATGCTAATAAGATGACTCTTGGTAGAACACCTAGATAGCTTCAGGATGGAGACTGGTTGCCAGAAGAACCAACCACATGATTTAAGTGTTAGAACTTTCAACCCCACCACAACCTCAAAAAGAGGAGAGGGGCAGGAGACCAACAGCTAGGAATTGAAATGATCATTCCTCTATAATGAAACTTCAATAAAAACTCTTGAACAATGAGGTTACAGAGCTTCTAGGTTAGCGAACATACTGATATGCTGAGAAGGTAACACACTCAGAGGAAAGAAGCTCTGCACCGCTCTGCCCATTCCCCCTGAGAAGTAGCAGATATAAAGGTAGGCAAAGACCATATCAGATGACGTTTGAAGAAAAAAAGAAAGGAAACAGAAACTGATTCTAAATGGAGTGAAAAATAAGAGAAGGCTTTGGAAGTGTTAAAGCCAGAGAGAAACAGTATTTTATTTCTTTTTAAAGCACCCTGGATTGCCTTATGGAGAATGGACTATATGGAGCAGAAATAAAAGCAGGGAATTCAGTTAGGAGCCTGTTGTAGTCATCTGGGCAAGAGATAATAGTGGCTTCAAGAAAACTGAACCAACAAGAGTTCTCAGGACGTAGATTAAGGATTGAATTGTGATAGAATCAAGGGCAGTAGTGCCTTTCACTGAAATGAGGATTTCTAGGAGAGGGAACGAGTTCTATTTGACTATGTAAAGTTCTATCCTTTTACTTTAAATATATTTGTGTCTTCCAGTCTTAAGTGTATTCTTATAAACAGTATATACATGGTTGGGTCATGGGATTTTATCCATTTTGCCTATCTCTATTTTATTTTATTTTTCCCCATTTATTGATTTGAGAGAGAGAGGAAGTGAGAGTTAGAGAGATAGACCAGGAATTAAACTGGCGACCTTTTGGTGCTTGGGTCGACGCTCAACCACTGTGCCACACCGACCGGGCATCTATTTTTTAAATGGAATGTTTAATCCATTTACATTTGATGTAATTATGAACAAGGTAGAATTTGCATGTGCCATTTAGTTAATTTGGTCTCAGCTATTCTTCCATTATTGCCTGCCACCTTTTATGTTAATTTGTTTGTTTTTTTTAAAGAGTGAAAGAGAAAGGGACAATAAAAGAGGTGACAATTCTAAAAAAAAGAAAAAGGAAAAAAAAATGCCAGAGACTCTTAGAACTAGGAAATGTCAAATATAAAAGACATTCAATAGAACAGAATTAGTAGTCCAGGTCTAGCTCCTACCCAATGTCCCTACACCCCACTCATACATATACTTTGAGCACGTAACAGTAGCAGCCCAGCTTCTGCCATGAAAATTTGAGGTTTATTCTCTAGAGAAATAAATAAAAGAGGCCTGGGACTTGAAGATAAAGGTATAGAAAAAGGGGTGAGACTGAAAACTGGAAGATTAACGTAAAGCTTCAACTATCAGAAATGCTCCAAATTTTATATCTACCCTTAAGACAGATAATTCAAAATTTAGTTTCTGAATGATCCTAGAAAATAGAACTCTAATATATGTGAAGATCTGTTAGCTTAAAAACCCACTTTCTTGCCCAATCATTCTAAAATAAATAAACCCAACCATGAAAAAAAAAATTTGTAATCAGTTTTTTAATGCCCTACTCTTGACATAAATAGAATACATTTTTTTTTTTTTTATCCTCACCTGGGGACACTTTTCCATTTTTTTACAGATAGAGTGGAAGGGAGAGAGAGAGAGAGAGAAACATCGACGTGAAAGGGACACATCGAGTGGCTGCCACCCACACGACCAACCAGGGCCGGGTACATGCCCTTAGCGGGAACCGAACCCGGGTCTCTCCGGACCGCAGGCTGACGCTCTAACCGCTGAGCCAAACCGGCCAGGGCTAGAATACATTTCTTATAATTTCTGCTATTAAGGTAATTGAATCCAATTTTTATCATTACCTAATTAAAAAAAAAAAACTACAGCCTGGATGGTGTGGCTCAGTGGATTGAGTGTCATCCAATGCACCACAAGGTCATTGGTTCGATCCTGGTCAGGACACATGCCCAGTTTTGCTGGCTTGCCCAGTAGGGGGTGTGCAGGAGGCAGCCAATTGATGTTTCTCTTTCACATGGATGTTTCTCTCTCTCTAAAAACTCAATAAAAACATTAAAAAAAGAAAGAAAAACTACAGTCACCCAGCTACAATGATCGTAATGCATATCTATGAGTAGTTGAGCAATTCTTCCTAAGTATCCTCTATGCAACTGTTATACTTCCAAATATTAGTTTTCCCCATAGATTATTATAAGAAGCAATGAGGAAGATTTTAGACAATTCCCAAACATGAGGAGGTCCCAAAATCCAGACCAGAAGATAAATGTTAGGACAAATTAGCACAATAAAAATTTCAATACAAAATCTTACATGTTTATCTTTCCTTTCTATAACATCTTGCTTTTGTTTGCATTTTTGAGATGTCTCCTTAATATCTGTTGCCTGTAAGATTGAACCAGAATTGGGAAAATCAGTTAAAAATTCAAGTAAGAAAATTATGTACTCCACCCATTCAAATATTGTTGTTATGTTAGTTAACCCATAAGGCTTCTTCCATGATTTCTTTCAAACCAAATACATAATTATCACCAAAAAAATCTGTTATTTGCAAATCTATTGATATTAAAAACTATAGCCATATGCAGATATATGTTTTTTAATCTCTACATTTATATTTTCATATTCTTTCATCTGATCTTAAAAACAATCCTATAGAATAGCAGGGTCCATAATTTAAACCATTCTCAAAATAAACTGACTCCCAAATCTCCCTAAAGAATGAAAGCCACAACCACCAAAATTTCAGTTATATTTTCAAAATATAGGTAATTTACTGAAATGCCATTATCCTATTTATTCTCAGAAACATCAAGTTTTCTATATCACCCTCCTCCAAAAGGGTATACAATTATAAAGCCAATATAATAAATTCACAAAAGGAGTTCATTGCTTCTAAGAATACTACTCTGAATCCTCTTGTAATTAATCACATTTTGTTTTCTTCTTTTTCTATCTTGATATTTCTATAAAGTATCAACATTCCAACAGTGATGATTAGAACCTTCCTTGAAAGCCCTGAGGTGGTACAATTTCTAGTTTAAAAACTTAAGAAATCAAAGCTACAAGTAAATCTACAAAATATTTTAAAATGCTTGCAAAAAAATTTTGTATGTGCTAAAATAAAATACAGTAACTCCAAATGGGAGTTGTAGAAAGCACCTTCGCTTTGATTTGAGCTTCCAAATTGTGACGCTGTGTTTCTATTTCTTCAATTCGACGTGTCATAGGAATCTGCCCGTCTTTAAGTTTTCTGACTTCATCCTTCACTCGGTCACGAGCTAGTTTTACTTCTTCGTATTCCTGACGGACATTTTCATATTCCTTGCAATTATTAAAAAGACAAAGTTAAGGCACTAACTAACTTAAACTAACACACATACTAAAATCAAGGTAGAGCAGAAACTAAATCTATGAAAAGACTGTTTTTGACATCCATTTGGCAGGTCTATTAATATAGTACCTGCCCTCTAAAACAACTTTAGAACTGCCGAATACCAACATAACGATTTACTAAGAGTCTTGAAACTCACTGAGCATTTATCTCCATCAGTAGTGTGGATTCTGATATCCATCTCTTCCTATTTCTGACACATGTACTAATGGCTACTAAAATGAGGTTCTCCTCTAGTCTCTCAATAAAGAAGGAATTCAGGAATGTATAGAGAAGCAAAAAAAACTCAGTTATAAAAAATAAAAAGGAAAAAAAAGGAAAAAAGTAGGAGACAAAAGGAAAATGAGTAAAAATCAAAACAAAACAAAAAAAAGCATGCAGGTGAAAATGATGCTTGTCATGTCACGGGAATTAATAAAAATAAGTGAAGCACTAAGAGAGCAGTAAAGAGTGAATGAGATGAAGTTAAAAAGAGAAAAGAACATAAACATTGGAGTAAAGCAAAAAAGAAATCTGATATCAATCTTAGAAAGCAAAAGAGAAACCAAAGATTTCATAAAACAAAGATAAAGTGCAAGAGTAAAAAATGTAACTAAAATTGCTGAAGAAAGGAAAAAGCATAATTATGGAATTACAAGACAGGGTAGGGTAAAATAGGGCAGGGAATGGGAGGAACAAAAATAGAGGCACATATTTTCCCAATCTAGTAACAATTATTTCCATCCTAACCTTGGAACAAATGTTACAAAACTTTCTTACTGTTTCACCCATTGTAAAGGAACGCGTGAATCTTTAGCCCAAACTGTAGTCATAAATAATAAAATATACATCATACAGTGATTAGAAACAGTAGCCTCAGTAAATTTATGAAGCACAAGAGTAGAAAATTACAGTTAATATTCTTCAGCTATGTGTCTATAGCTGAATTTGATATTAGTGGCAACTCCAAGTAAATGTTCAGTGACCTGAGGACACTAAAAATTTAATTTTATATGTGTAAACATTTTTAGATCATTAACATTTTATAAAATAAAACTATTTGTTACGGACAAAATCTGGAGGAAATCCCAGCTCTGAGTTCTTAGACTTTAATAAACTGTTATTTGTTATTACATTAACAACAACATAGCACACAGCTACATAACACAGAGAGATAAACTTTATTATATAATATGTAAAGCAAAAATGAACAAAAGCATCTTATTTGAATTTTAGTCCTTCTTTATAACTTTTCTGCTACTTTAAGAATCACTATTTTTGCCTCTAATAATGAAGACTTACCACCCATGGCCTTTTAGCTTCAAGCATCTCAATCAAATCTAAATGTCGCTTACGTTCATAGAACCTCTCCACATCTTGTTTATATCTTTCATTCCTCTGAACCATTTTCTCTAGATATTCCGTTTTCTCTTTGCATGAGGTCTAAAATAAATATTTGTTTAAACAATTAGTTTAACTTGGAAAAAAAACAGTTCAAAATTTTTAATAATAAAAAATGTACAATGCTAACAACATTTTACAGTGAAGAATTCCATAGAAGTTCTTAAAAATTATGTAAAACTAACATGCACACGTTAAGTTCTGGTCTAGGCTCTATAATTTATTCATCATGTGACGGTGGGGAAGCCCTGCCACATTACTGAGCCTGGAGAAGAAACTTATCTGTCTCATCCAGCTCAAGAGTAGAAGCAGTTCACTTGCTATAAGTGAAAGCTCAACAAAAGCTGTAAAGTGATAAACAAATGAAAATATTACTATTAATGTTATGAACACCCATGACTTAAAGACTTAGAAATGAGATGAAAGAAAGCTAAAATTTAGTCTTTATATTGCAAAATAACAAATACAAAGATGTACTTAGAATTCAGCAGAATATATGCTTTTTTCTTTCACAAGACAGTAGGTAGTTACATTGAGTGTTTTAGATGGAATATTAGATTGTTTGATGTGGGGACAGGTAAAAGGACTGACGAAGTATCTGAAGTAAGACAAAACAATTACAACTCCTTTGGTCATTCACTCTGAATAAGTGTAACAATAAAAGTAGTATTAAATTATAACAAATATTATCAAGTATAGACAGTTACAGAATAAGAAAAAGCATTTGTTTATAAGATTTCTTATTATAAAAACTTACTAAATTATTTTAGTTGCTGGGCCCTGAAAAATGATTTATTAAATAAAACACCTTTACAAATGATATGCAAAAAAGACATTTTAATTTATACATTTTATTAAAGATGAAAATAACTCAACACTGTTACTAAATGTATAGTTTTCTTACAATGTCTACCCTCATGCAACTGAAAAAATATCAGAACTGGTTCAACAGAAACACTATGTTAAAATCTGTATGATATCTGCTATATTAACCAAAGACTTAACACAATGCCTGGCACATAGTAGGTATTTAATAAATATTAAATGAGTAAGAGAATAATAATGAAACTTCTGAGAGGAAAAAATATTTTGTAATACTATTATTAGTTCCTTAAAATTCAATTAATAACATATATCTGATGAAATGATAGTCAAATTTTTTTCAAATTTTACATTTATCAAATCTATTCTCACTTTTTGTCACCTAATTAATGTTAGCAATACAAATGTTAGAAAAAAAATCACAAATATATGAATTTAGTCAATAATGAGAATTCACTTTCCAACATTTTGAGATATAGAAATCAAGGAGGGATAATAAAAATGAGTTTTCCATTTATAAATACCTCTAATTGTTTTTCTTTCTCCCTGAAGTTTTTGAGTTCACAGTGGTATCTGTGCATTTCTGGAGGACCAATTGACTTCTCAGTAGCTTCAAGTAGTTCAATTTTACTGAGTTTTGCAAATTCTCCAACTTTATCCTAGAGCACAAAACTTAAATATCAGCAAATATTATAATCTACAAATAGCTTCAAAATATATTTCACTCAATGATCATACTTGTCAAGATGAAATAAAAGAAAAATATATTATTTTGAGATGTGATCTTAATATAAACTCTGTCCTTTCATATATTATTCTTTAAAATAATAGAAATAAACTTGGGGTGTAAACTGTCACCTTTTTGAGAACCTTTAAAAATTTTCTATGTGAACACTTTACATCATACAGAAGAATAAACTCAAAGAGGATTAAAGACTTAAATGTTAGACCCCCAAACCATAGAAATCCTAAAACAAAAAAACATTGATAGTAAAATCTCAGACATTTTTCTTAGCAACATTTTTTCTGATGTATATCCTCAGGCAAGGGAAACAAAAGAAAAACAAATGGAACTACATCAAACGAAAAAGTTTTTGAACAACAAAGGAAACTAGCAACAAAATGAGAAGACAACCAATGAATGGGAGAACATGCTAGCCAATGATACATTTGATAAGGGTTTAATATCTAAAATTTATTACAAAGAATTTATAAAACTCAACACCAAAATAACAAAAAATCCAATTAAAAATGGGTAAAAGACCTGAATAGACTTCTCCAAAGAGAACATGTAGAAAGCCAATAGACATGTGAAAAGATGCTCAACATCACTAATCATCCGAGAAATGCAAATTAAAACCACAATGAGATCGCCTCACACCTTTCAGAATGACTACCAACAATATATCAACAAACAAGTGTTGACAAGGATGTGGAAAAAAGGGAACCCTCCTGCACTGTTGGTGAGAATGCAGCTTGGTGTAGGCACTGTGGAAAGCAGTATGGAGCTACCATAAAAAAAATTGAAAATGAAACTGCCTTTTACCCACCCATTCCACTTATGGGAATACATCCAAAGAAACCCAAAACACGAATTTGAAAGAATATATGCACCCAAATGTTCATTACACCGTTATTTACAATAGCCGAGATTTGCAAGCAGGCTCAAGTGGCCATCAGTAGATAAGTAGACAAAAAAGCTGTGGTACATTTACAAAATGAAATACTACTTGGCTGTAAAAAAAAAAGAAGGAATCTTACCTTTGGTGACAACATGGATGGACCTTGAAGATTATTATGTTAAACAAAATAAGCCAGACACAGAAAGCCAAGTACCATATGATTTCACTTATATGTGGAATCTAATGAACAAAATACACTAACAAACAGAAACAGACTCATAGATATAGAGAACAGACTGACAGCTGACAGAAGGGAGGGGGTTGGAAGGCTGGGTGAAAAAGGTGAAAGGATTATTAAGCAAAAAAGAAAAGAAATTCAGACACAGACAATAGTATGGTAATTACCAGAGGCAAAGGGGATGGTGGGAGGATGTAGAAGAAGGTAAAGGGAATAAATGGTGATGGAAGGAAACCTGACTTGCGGTTGTGAACACACAGTGTATAGATATATACAGATGATGTATTATAGAATTGTATTCCCTGAAACCTACACAATTTTATTAACCAATGTCACCTTAATAAATTTAATAAAAATTTTAAAAATTCTATGTCAATATTTCCAGGTTGAAACGTTTATATATATATATGTTTGGGATAAAAGAAAAAATAGTCCTCTGGATAGAAACGATCATTCACTACACATCAACTGTAATGTTAGAAGTTAAAAACAGAAGAGGCAATTTTAAATATCTACTTCTGGAAATCGTCTGACATCACCTTATAAATGCTTCCAAATTTTGATTTTTATTTGATAATTAACATGTAATCAAATCATCATTGTTCCTGAAGAAAAAAATGAACTATAATTCAGTTACTATTATGAGGCAGCATTCAAAGACAAATTAAAAAGAAATTTTTTTTTTTTTTAATCCTTATCCGAGGACATTTTTCCATTTTTTGTACAGACAGAGTGGGAGGGAGAGAGAGAGGGAAACATCGATATGAAAGGGACACATCGAGTGGCTGCCACCCGCACGACCAACCAGGGCCGGGGACAAACTGCAACCGAGGTACATGCTCTTAGCGGGAACCGAACCCGGGTCTCTCCGGACCGCAGGTGGACGCTCTAACCGCTGAGCCAAACCGGCCAGGGCCAAATTAAAAAGAAATTTGGCTTGAACATTTAACGTGCATTACGAGTATGCTTTATTTTTACTAAACTTAAAATATATATAGGTGTTATAAGGCATGCCTAAAGATTTAAGAGTTTTAGTAATCAAATATTTTATACAAAACCACTAATTATGTTGTTTATTAACAAAATTTAAGAGCCTACAACAAATGGAAGCCCAAAGCAATTCAAGCTACTCTCTGTTCTTGAAAATAATACAACTTTACTTCTGGTACAATACTCTAACTTGAACTTTTTGTTAAATGGAAATTTTCCAAATTATTAGAAATTAATAAGATTATATTTTAAGGGCAATTTTTAAAACTTAATTTTTATTTTTTCCATTACCATTTATCTTCTCTATGCCCTCTTCCACCCCCACCATCACCACACTGTTGTCCATGAGTTCTTTCTTTTTTCCCTTTTTTGCTCCATTCTTCCACCACCCCCATACCGTTTCCCCCACCAGAGCCATCTGCCTACTCTCTATCTATTAGCCTAAGGCAGTGATTTTCAACCAGTGTGCCCAAGAATTTTTAAACATGTAATATCTGATTTTTCAGTCAGGAGCACTGACCTCTATTCCCTTAGACTGTCAAATAAAAAAATGACAACAGCCAACACAACAATAGCTGTCTGGTGTGAATGAATCAAAATTATACCTATTTTTATTGTTAGATCAGCAAAAAAATTATTTTTTGGTGAGCCACAGAATTTTAGTAAATAGTTTATGTGTGCTATGAGATGAAAAAGGTTGAAAATCACTGCTGTAAGAGATGAGATGTTATCTTTTTTAACAAAAAACTGTTAGTGTTAAGACTGCTATTCACTCAATTTAAATAGTAATCTTTATAATATCCCTGAAAAAGTATTTATATTCTTATACAGCATAAAAAGAAAACAGTATATACAGAGCTTTCCCATTTTTACATTTAATTCTCTCATACCTGAGGTAGAAACTGGCAAAGATTGCCCACTTGAATATTTAAGGCTGCAACTTGCTCTTCTACTACTTTCTGAGTTGTCGTTTTCTTGTTGATATACCAAACGGACTGATTTTTCGCCACATCAATCTCACGAGTAATTACAAGGTTTCCAGAAGTTCTGAACCTAATTGAAAAAAAATTTTAAATCTTTAATATTCAAATGACATATTATTTCAGAAATAAAATTTCCAAAATTCTCTTGCACCAAAGGTTGCTGGATATGATTATTATTATCATCATTATTATTTTTATTCCTTTTGATATTTTGGCCCTTCTAAAGAAGAAAACTTTGATATTTTATTAGTCATAACACATGATATAATACTCTTTCAACATTCAAAATTATTTAAACTTAAAATAAAATTGAGATAAATGCCAATACTAATTCCCAAACATGGCCAGAGAATTCACATATCTGAAGTTATTTATCCTTTAATCATTATGCTATTTTACAATCAAATGCACAGACTGCAATTCAAACTGGGTTGGTATGCAGAAGCATGTAACAGTTAAACCTTGAAAATCCATCTATTTGGAAAATGAGTAAAAGCAAATCTTGCGTATGCATTTCCAGACATCAAAACTAGCCTGTCTATGGCTTCTCCTCATCATGTACTCCACTATGAATTCAGAGGGGACTACATTACATAGCTATACAGGGACATTAAATGATAAAGAATCTGAAAGAAGGGTATTTACTTATTTCTTGCTTTTAGAAGTACTACTGCTCCACAACTGCCATTTATTCATCCATCTTCTTCACTGGGAATCAGCAGCATGTGGTAGAAAGATAAATTATTGGTATCCAATAGCTATATGACAATAATTTATAAATGTTGTATATTTAATTATATTATAATAAGAACTCTCCAAACAGTAAGATTTTAGGACTTTAAAAAAAAAATGTAGTTCTAAGCTTTCATTTCTAGCAGAATGACTAATAAAGTACCTTTTTAAAATCATCTACTACAAACAAAAACTGATAGATAAAATACTAAAACATCTTCATAAATCCATTTATGAGTTAGCAAGAAGGAAAAGAATCCTGGTCAAAATCCCAAGCAGAAACCCAGGAGTGAAAAAATGAACTGGGCTTTCATCCTGAGGGCATCTTGCACATTCATTTTCATGATCTCATGATCTAAAGGTAGAGAGTCTAATAGAAACATCCCCAAAAGGCTACATATACCCTCAGTATAAGGGCAATCTAGAAATACTCCATCACTATCACCACCACCACCACCACCTCCCTGGCAGCAAGGTAAATTGCCTTTCTTAAACTATGGCTTAAACTGTGAAACAAGCAAAAAACTTTCCCCAAGAGTTACTAACAAGTCAGTTTCAAACAGAGTTGCATCTTGAAGTTAAATGACATACCTAAGGAGCTTCAAACCCACAAAGTGAGAATTCTGTATACTGTGATCTTGGATTGAAAGTGTCCAATGGTCTGAGACAAGTTAATAAAAACTCCCTCTATAGAAATCTACTTGTATCCTCAAATAATTAACACAGATAAAGTTCAAAAATAAAAGTGCATCTCACTGGCAAAACACACACACACAGACAGACACACACACACACACACACAGACAAAAGCATCAAGAGTAAGAACTAGCAGCACGGTCCATGTGGCTCAGTGGATTGAGTGCTGTCCCATGAACTGAGAGGTCCTGGTTCGATTCCTGGTCAGGGCACATGCCCGGCTTACAGGATTGATCCCAAGAAGGGAGCGTGCAGGAGGCAGCCGATTGATGTAGCTCTCTCACATTGAAGTTTCTATCTCTCAAAATTCCTCTGTCTCTAAAATAAATAAATAAATAAATGAAATTTAAGAAATGAGTAAGAACTAGCGGGAATATCAGAAAGTAGAATCATAATGGAATTAATAGACTCCAGAATAAAATGCGTATGTTTACTGTATTTTAAGACTGAAAATATAAGTAAAAAAGATCTGAAAAACAAACAAAGAGAAATGAACGAGCATGCCACACAGAAACATAAAAAAAGAGAAAAAAGAAAAACAGGAAAGGTGTTAAGAGACATGGATGACTGAGTAAGAAAGTCTAACATCTGTCCAACAAGAGATCTAGAAGTAAGGGAGACAAAATGGGTCATAGGCAATATTTAAAGATTTAATAAATAGATGGATTTTCCAAATCACAGATTGAAGAAGCTCATTAAATCACAAACAAAATAAATAAAAAACAAACCTACACCTAAATATATAATGTAAAACTATAAAACAATGAAAACAGACGTATAATTTCAAAAGCCTCTTGACAAAAAGAATTACTATCAAAGAAACTACGACTGGGCTCACATCAGAAGACAGTAAAATTATACTTTGCATGAGCTGAGAAGGAAACTATCAATGTAAAATTTTATATCTATCAAACAGTTTTTAATAGAGCAAAATAATATCATTTTCAGACAAAAACTAAGTGTGTCAGTAGACAACCCTCATTAAAGGAAACTTAAATTTCTGTTGTTAACCCTCACCCCACGATATTTTTCCAACGATTTTTAGATAGAGTGGAAGGAAGAGAGGGGGAGAGGGAGGAACGGAAGGGAGGGGAGAAGGGGAGAGAGTGAGAGAGAAACATCGATGTGAGAGAGACATATCAATTGGCTGCCTCCTGCATGACCCCAATCAGGGCTGGGGATCAAACTTGCAAGCCAGGTACCTGCCCTTGACCGGGAATAGAACTGGAGACTCTTCCATCCATGGGCCGACGCTCTAACTGCTGAGCCAAACTGGCCAGGCCTAAAGGAAACTCTAAAGAATGTCCTCTAGCAGAAAGAGATACCAAAGGGAAGAACACAAATGCAAGAAAGAATGAAAAGCAAAACAAAGAGTAAAGGTGGGGTAATTCCAAACAAACACTGACAGTATAAACTAATAATAGTTATATCTTTGAAGGGTTTAAAAATAAGATAGAATTAAAATAGCATATAAGTTCAGAGAAAATGTTATTAAAATAAAAGTACCTGAAGGTCTCATTCAGTAGGAAGATGTTTAATTAACTTTAGGACCCCCCCCCCCCATTTTTATCGATTTTTAGAGCAAGAGGAAGGGAGAGGGAAAGATAGAAACATCAATGAGAGAACATCGATTGGCTGCCTCCTGCATGCCCCCCACTGGGGATCGGGCCCACAACCTGGGCATGGGCCCTGACCAGAAATTGACCCGGTGACCTCTAGGTGCATGGGTTGACGCTCAACCACTGAGCCACCCTGGCTCAGCTAACCTTAGACTCTTAACTAAAGTATTTATGTTAAGGGACTTCCAGTCAAGATGATGGAGTAGGCAAAAGCTGTGCTCACCTCCTCCCATGACCACATTAAAATGATCAAACAATCATCATTGACAACCACCTGAAGACCAGCTGAACAGAAGTCTGATAGCAAAGGATATAAAGAAGAAAGAGAGACTAGTTAGGAGGGATGGAGACATGGAACTGGCAGGTCCCAGACTAATGGTGTGGCGATTATATATCATGAAGGATATCTTGGCTGCAGAGGTCCCCCTGAGGAGCACACAGGGTCCCAGCTCCACACCCAGGTCCCCAGCCTGGGTCACCAGTGCTGGGAAAAGAAGTCCCCATAACAGTTGGTTGTGAAAACCAGCAAGGATTGCATCTGAGTGAGACAGAGTCGGCTGGAGTCCCAAGCTTTCTACTTGCGGGGCCCTTGCACGGACTTGCTTGCTCACAGACTGATTTGCTCTGCACCCAGAGTAGGGCAGCAGCTTGAAAAGCACCAGGGACATATAGGGAGAAATAAAATTGACTGTGTTCAGGGCAAGGGCTGGGGTGAACTCTGCCCTGGGATGTAAATGCTGGCAGGCACCAAATCTGTGATCTCCATTAATTTGGTTAACACCATTTCCCCTGCCTGGTGATTCTCTAAGACCACGCCCAACGCAAGCACTGGCAAGCCACTTCCAACAGCTTTTCCACCCAAGCAGCCAGCTTCAGCTAGTGCTATAAACTTTCCTAAAATCTCTCAAAGGCCCCAAAACCTCAAACAAGCAGCATTGGATTCAGTGTGCCCTGTACCTCTTGCTAAATGGCCTAAAGCCCAATACAAGCAACACTTGGTCTCAGCTTATACTGTAACTCCCATTAAGTGGCCAAAAAACAGGAATAAGCAGTGACCTGTATATGCCTGGAACATAGCTTCAACTAGAAGTAACTGGCTTCAGCTCACACTGTGATGCCCACCAAAGAGTCCTAAGCATGGCACTAGTGGCAGGCATCCTTGGTTCGCAGCATAGTCTCTTTCAAGCACCTCCAAGACAAGCACACGTGGCAATGAACCATTGAGTACTCTGTAACTCCCACCAGGCAGCCCCTAGCCAGGCACAAAAGACAGCTGACCCAAGCCTGCACCAGAGTACCTCCCAAGAGCCTCTAGAACCAATAGACCAGAGGCCTGCTTCACATAATATCAGAGCATACCCAAAGAGCTCCACAAACAACACTTGAAGGGTAGATTCAGCTGGCACCAGAGCCCCACTAAAGAAACTCCTGCTTTGTGGGGTCAGCCCCACACAACAGCTTGTCTGCTATAGTCATGGGTGAACCCTCACAGTCAGTCAGCATAAAGGTCAATCCCACCCACTGATGTGCCAACGGCAATCAAGGCTCAACTACAACAGGAAGGCCTATATACCTATACAAAGGACACTCCTGGAGCAACGGAACCAGATTAATGGGAAGACTGCCACTGGGCCTCATGGGACACCTACAACATAAGGCCACTACGCCAAGACTGGGAGATGCAGATCTACCTAATATATACAAAGACAGGGAGTCAGCCAAAATGAGGAGACAAAGAAACATATCCCAAATGAAAGAATAGGACAAAACTCCAGAAAGAGAACTAAATGAAATGGAGTTAAGTAATCTACCAGATACAGAGTAAAGAAAAAACTGGTTATAAGGATGCTCATTAAATGTAGGGGAAGAATAGATGAGCTCAGCAAGAACCTCAATAACGATGTAGAAACTATTAAAAACACGTTAGAGGGAACGAACAGCAGACTAGATGAAGCAGAGGTCTGAACCAGTGATCTAAAAGACAAGGTAGCAGAAAACACTCAATCAGAACAGCAAAAAGATA